GTTGCTGTCAGTCTATAGTTCCTAACACAACAACATTTACGTTTATTTATATATAAACATATAGTCTAGATATACAGAATTGTACATATAAAAGTAATGCCAGTTTATAAAAGTTTAAAGTTTATTAAAATCAACGTCTTAGGATACTCTCTCAAGGCAATAAACAAACGATCTTATTTGCTGCAAATTGAAAGATTTTAAGGCATTTTTATTTTAAGACATTAAATCCACATACTTTACAATAACACGCATATTATATTTTTCATTATCTTTGTCTTCCTCAACAAAAATGTCAAGAAACCGTCAATTTAACTATATATTTACCATTACATATTGTGTTCCTACTGCATTCATCATGTTCACAATCATTTTTCATGAATTTGTTCAAAAGTGTCACCATATGCCTCAGTTTCTTACTATCTAGAAATTCTTGCCATGACCATCATTCTCAAAGGTAAAATATCTTCCACCCATTCATTCGGAGATTGCGTCATTCTCTCCCACAGGGCTGCTTCAGCAACATTAGAGTCCATCCAGTTCACTTCACTGCCATAACTTTTACCTGCAATAATACTGACAATCAGTTGTGACAATTTTACACATTTTTTAAGTATGGTTGTAATTTCTCTTTCAATTACCTGTTCCTGGACCCAGCCTAATGCCTCCAATGAAGTGGTTGTTGAGTCTGTCGTGATCCCACATAGTAAGCTCCACGCAGGCCTCTTTGAGGTCCTCTTGCCTGAAACCATCATACACCATGGTGTGATTAAACACTGGGTTAGATGCCCTCTTCAACACTCTGGTCTTCTGACGGCTTTTCCGGCTGGTATCTGGGAGGACTGTGCTGAAAAGACCAAATTCACACGTGATGGGCATCCCACATTTAATGATCCAACATGTATACAAATATATCCAATAAAACAGCTATAAATACCATTTGACAAAGGGGTCAATGGCAACACCTCTGGTAATAGGCAGATTCTTGCATTCTTTCACCCATATTTGCACCTCACCATTCCCCTTGTTCTTGTGACCTACAGAATTAACATGTTATCAGAAAGAAAGATGCTTCTAAAAACATATTTTTAGTCAAATACAAAGTGTCAGCATCTTACTGTGAGAAGTCTGTGGGACAAAACGCAGAGCGACTTTAATCTCTGCACTCATTTCTGCGCTGCCGACAGAATGTTTTGGGCTGGTGGGAACCTGGCCCTGGGTTGATAAAGAAATACATGCTTTAGTGGAATTCCAACAAACATGGCCTCATACTCTTTAGCACAGGATTTTAGATGTGTTGTTCACAGACTTCTCAAGAAAAGCACTTTAGAAAAATGTTTTGCTGTCCATATCTTCAACAATATTAACCTAGATACAGATTTGATCTGTGGGCCACTAGTTAAAGAGTATCCTAACAGGTTATTTTAACCAAATAGACATGACTATTGTTATCTCACCCTTCCTTTAAGTAAATATTCATTCATCTGAGTGTTACTGAAATCCCATTCGGCCAAATCGAGCTCAACCTCTCCAAGGAACATGTTATGCCCAAATGTCTCGTTGTGCCACACAGAGGTGTTCAGCTTCTGGGTTTTCAACGTCTCCACTGGAATCTTAAACTGCATGGAAAAGACAACTTTGATCATCAAATTCAAAACATATCTGAAGAAGTTTATAATTCTCATACCCGTAGTATTTCATTGAAAGTTGGATCCAGAGTCTTCTTCCTCACGCATGTTTTTTTCTTTCCATATTTTGCTTTGTCAGGTAACAAGTAACATTTAACATATCTGAAGTTCAATCAAACAAAGTACATATATGATTGTTTATCTATCTTGAGAGAAGCTATATTCTTCTGTTGACTAATATTATTTCACTTACGGATCAGATCGGTTCCTCTTAACATCCGCCACAGCGAGGTCCTTGCATTGCACAACAAAGACGTGGAACTCTCCCAGTTTTTGCAAGTAGTGAATGGCGAACTGGATTGTGCCTTTGACCTCCACATTACCAAACTCACTACTGTAGATGCTCATTACACTGCCAGT